TACAAATAGAGGCCTCTGAGACGAGCAGATAAGCGAGCAGCGCTTTGAAACATGACAGGGTAGCCCAGCGGGGAGCTTTGCGCGAAAGTCTGAGGATGCGATCGCTCCAAGGAAGGCATCACCTGTGAGAAGCCCAACTGTGTAGACAGCTGGGGTGATAGTAAAAACTGCTCGGCTCGCAACAGGAGAACTTCTTCTGCCGGATCTCGCAAAGAAGTGCTACTGGTCAGCATGCTGCTCGGTTCCGTCAGAATCTCGCTTTTGGACATACTGCTCCGAAGCTTATTTCTTGAAGCCGACAACGTGCTCGACGAGGTCTTGGTGTCTGTCCGAGCCGTTTTGGCGGCATCTTTAAGCCTGGAGAGCTCCGGGATTGCCTGTGTTGCCTGCGTCAAAATTTGAAGGCACATCGCACACACCTGCTCTGCAGTGTACTGGTTCACGAACTCGTTTAGCTGCATCAAGTTGCCGTCGAGCAACAGACGTTGCAGCGTACTAATCGGATGCGTCTTTCTGAGGATGTGCACGCCGATGCTTGAGATGATCATGAAGGACGGTGCAGGCACCAACTGCTGCTTTGCAAGCTCGCTGAGGTGGACAACTGGTAGCACCAAGCCGTTTGCTCTGGAAAACAATTGCTCGACTGGCTTCGAAACTGGCCGTGGTAGCAGGGCAAGTCCCAGAATCTCAGCCACTGCCGTGCCACTTCGATGTAGGTGAATGGTGTCCACATGCTCTGCCAGGCTTGCATGTTGCAGCCATGGAGAATGATTGCGGCCTTGCCGCTGTGCAACCATGCGCAGGTCGGTGCTCAGAGCAATCACCACGTCAACAGTTTCTGGAGTCTCCGTCAGTGCAGGGCTTTGCCCTGCAGAAAAGGAACCTGATGAAGAGTCGCATCCAGAGACTTGACAGTGCACCAGCGTTACGCCATCTTCCCACAACGCGTCCTTCACTCGTAAGCTTCTGGGGGCAAGCGCATCCAAAAATCGCACGTGGTGCACTGAAATGGATGTGATTTGGCTCCCTCGGGCTTGGCCTGGATTGCCCTGTGAATTTGCATCTGCTGAGCCTGCTGAGCCTGCCGTCTGCATGGTGGAGGAGGTGCCTGAGGCGGCTGAGGCGCCTGAGGCGCCTCGAAATGCACCACGCAGAAAGATGCGAGTACCATCTTCGGCAATCGCACAAGCAACAATGCTGCCACCCTGAGTCTTCTCCACTGGCCACACCTTTACCAGTCTCGGTGGATATGATGCAAGACCTGTGGCAGCTGCCACGGCACCAAACGGATTGATCCCTCTGGCGTTGGCGGCCAGCAAACCGGGAAAAAGTCGAGCCTTGATCCGACCGACTTCTGCGGCGAGAGTCGATTGCGAAATTGAGCACAGCTGTACAACAGGCTTCTCCTCTAAACGTCCAGAAGAATTCCTGTAGCTCGGAGGCACATGGAAAATAGAAATGTTCGACAGCGAAGACAAAGCAATGAGAAGTCCTCTCGAAGTCTCTGTGGCAAGTTGAACAACCGCCTCTGAATGCCCAAATATGGTAACGCAAATGCGTTGCAAAACGGCTGGCAACTGAGACTGCAAGTTCCAGCTAACTGCAACTTTCCTGCATTTTCTTGGCCTGCGCAGCCAAGTGGACTCATGTTCTGAATACTGAAGTTCATGTATGCAGCCATCATTTCCCCCCAAAAAGATGCGACCGCTGGCGGGATCGACCGCTAAGGCGGTTGTCAGTATGTCATCGCTTGCCACAGCATACTGCGTACGCATGGGTGGCCATAAGCGGTCACTTCCCGGAGCAAATCGCAGAGCATGTAGTGACACCTCCAACGGTGTCGCCAGGATCAGGAAGTAGTCGGCCTCACTCACGAAATCTTTAGGGCGCGCAACGGCTGCCGCAATAACTTGCTGCGAGACCTGAGCGAAGTCAACCGGTGTCATGGACAAAAAGAACGAGCTTCTCTTCTGGGAATTTTGCTGGTTTTGCTTTCTGGCTCTGCAGCAGCCCTTGAGCGCAGATTGCATCCATACATGTGCGTACCTAGAAGGAAGGTGGTTGCGAGGCTTAGTGTCGTTGAGAACTGGGTGGGGTGGGGGGGGGGTGTTGCGAAAGAGCTGGGGCCTTGCACCATGCCTCTCTGAGCCCCTCTCCACCCCTACAGTCTGAGTCAGCTTTCGGATCTTTGAACTCTCTGACGTCCGGCACGAAAACACACCAATCTTGATCGCCTTCCCCACCCCATGATCTATCTTGCCTTTCATCCCCGACCCTCCAAGGAAGACTTAACACCCATGCCCTCTGCTCCCCACCCTCCCCCTTGTTCCCCGTCCTCCCTAACCTCCAAGCCGACAATTCCTCCTCACAACAGTCCTTTCTAAGTTGTTTGAGCAGCTTATGATACTTCTGAATGTCGCAGTTCAAAGCTCGACTTAACTAGGACTAGGACCAGTGCTTGATCCATATGCGCATCTTCAATTGTTTTGGTGACATCGGAGGTGCCCGTTTATAGTGATAGGCACCACATGAAGGTGCATGGAAGCGGCTCCCTATGCTGTTGCAACCCGTCCAAGAAGCGTTTTTCCTGCGCCAAGGACGTTTGATTTTTCAACAACATGAAAACCTCGCCTTTCATAGGGTCATGGTCCCTGCCTTTCAGAGTCCCATAGCAAGTGCACCGCTATTAAGGCAGGGACTCAACCTCTGACACCCAATTCAGCCTTCACTGGGTAAATCTGGACATGTAACAACTGGATACAACTGGCAAACACCCAGGGATCCGACACCTGTGTACTCGGTCATCTCTTGCATGCCAGGGTCAGCATACTTCCATAGCACGATCCGCGAGTCAAAGGAGCGCCAAAACCTTTGAATGTCTGGAAGCACGCCCTGTCGGGTAAAGGGCTCGGAACCGAATGGCAATCCCTTGCCAGTAATGTCCGCAGTGAACTGAGGGCAACTGCCATCATAGTCTGCGCTGCCCACCCCGGACGCACACGACTCTTCCAGCGATAGGAAATGATCATCTTGAGCAAGGGCTTCTCCGACTAACCTTCCAGGAAGCAATAGGTGCTGCCGAAGCTCTGCCACTCCATCATCCATGACTGCACCCTCAGGCCCGCTACTCCACAGATGTTTGTGACACCATTGGCCTAAGTTTCTTCATCCCTCTTCAAGAAGGGCTACGGAAGAGGAGTCACGTGCTTCAAACTTTCAAGTTTGACTCCTAGGCCGTTGTGGCATCATCGCTAGACTTGTCGGCTGCCACAAGTGCGGTCACAGCGAGAACTGTTTTAACGCATCGGCATCACTTCGGCACAATGGCTGAGCCTTGGGCTGTCCTGCCGTTCCATACTGCTATTCAGGCCGTGTCTGGCAAATTCGTTCTAGCACAAACTGTCCTACTTTGGGACCCGCTTTTGTGAACCCAGCTTGTGGATCTGCATGTGAGAGCCACCAATCACTGGGCAAGTGCCACGCTTCCTGTCAACAAGTGAACCGGTTTGGCCTCAGTGATCCGGGCACACACGCACACAACACCAAACCAAAACCAAAACCAAAACCAAAACCAAAACCAAAACCAAGCACACTACATACCATGCCGTTCAACGACGTAGAAATCACTGATACGGTACCACCTTCAACCACGGCACAGGCGAGGAGCCAGGCACTCAAGTTACTGGTGTGGATTCGTCTACTTCTGGCATGTCACACAGCACCCTGTGAGCCCTCTATAGTAGCGGCACTGAGGCCACGTCTCGGTGGACGAGGAGCTCTGCAAAACTTTGACGGCTCGGATAGCATTCATCATGGACACGATCTCCTACAAGAGTCTTGTGCAAGTGTGTGCATTTGTGTCGAGACCTTGCATCATGCGGTCAACGGCGCCTTGGGAGACGCATGCTTTCTTTCAGCCAAGTCTGCCACATGCGCTACGCCTTGTGCAAGTGGATTGGCATGATTGGCATTCCGTGCATCGGCTACAGCCAGGCTTACACAACACGCATCTCATAGGGCCCCCTGCACAACCGCAACTGTAGCGAGAAGCTTCGGCATAAAGCCTACTGGGATCAAAGTTTCAAGTCCACTCTTTAGCAGTTTCAACAACTCTCTGAGAAATATCACTACGGCCTCGAGCATGGCCTCGGGGTTTCCCTGGATACCATTGACTTCTGTGATGAGCATCCTGACAGGCTCGTCGGCGCAGTCATGCGCAGTCCAACGCACAAGCGCCCTCAATGAAACACGCGTGGGCCCATGGCTGTCCTAGGACGAATTAGTGTGGAGCAACCCGCCGCGCGCTGCTGCGAGTTGTACTTCGCCACGGACCCCTCCGCATTCGAGGATGAACAGAAGATCTCTCGAATGCATTGCGGGGCGCATTGCCCTGGATCAATTGTCTCACGGAGAGAGAATTGTGCTCTCAAGCAAGGGTAGGCCTGCGGGTGAATGGCAACAACAGCCAGACCTGAGATTCGGGGCTTTGTGTCTTCGCTCTTCAAACTCAATGAATGACTCCAAAGTTGCACAACAGAATCCACCTTAAGCTAAATATAACGGACCTTCTGCACTAGGCGATGCAAACGAGCTAATGCTGGAAGATCGCCTAAGAAGTTAGCTGTCCAGCTTTCTGTGAGAAACCTACTGCCACTTGCTATATGGTTTGACGCCATACCAACTTGAAGCATCGTGTATTGACCCATCCCACTGACCACCTATGCTATGCGCACAGAGCCGGAGGGGCACATACCGGCAGATGCACGTAAGGGAAAAGAGACCGTGCAGTCGCTTCTGAGGCACCGGCCAGTCTGCACATCTGGGTGGAGACGGACCGTCAGGCCTAGGCCCTCCAAGCCTGCCGCGATGGCGGCTGTAGAATGTCGGACATGCTGATAGCTTGCAACCGAAACCTTTCTGCAACTTTGCAGTGAAGCTCGGGCTTTGCGGACCTGCTTGGGTCTCTGCAGTAGTGCAAAGATCATCTAACACAGCAGCTTGATTTGCTGTTTCTTTCGGCATTGCATCGCCTGGGCTGTGTCGTACTGCTTCTGATGTTGAGCCACTGCTGCCATGGCCTCCTGCCTGTGCAACAATGGCGTTGTGGGAATGCAGGCTCTGCTCAGGCAGTGACTCATCATACTCATCGTGTTCCACTTCATTATCTTCATTGGAAACGCATGGCTCTGAACTCTCACGGTCGAAACCGGAAAAGAACCCAAAAAAATGCCAAACCGATGACTCCCGATGTCCAGAATGTCGTGGGGACCATGTAGACAGTCAAAACAGCGGAGGCAAGCAAAAGCCTCTGCTTCAGCAGCTTCCTTGCCCAGTCGTTCCTCAGTCTCCTTCGCTAGCCGCTCCCCTTCAGCTTCCATGGCCAATCGTTCCTCATCTGCCTTCCTGGCTTCCTCAGCTAATCGCTCCTCTTCCGCTTTCGTAGCCGCCTCTGCTTCGGCAGCTTCCTTGGCCAGTCGTTCCTCGGTCTCCTTCGCTAGCCGCTCCTCTTCAACCTTCTTCGCTGCCTCTGCTGCAGCAGCTTCCATGGCCAATCGTTCCTCCTCTGCCTTCCTGGCTTCCTCAGCTAGTCGCTCCTCTTCCGCTTTCTTGGCCGCCTCTGCTTCGGCAGCTTCCTTGGCCAGTCGTTCCTCGGTCTCCTTCGCTAGCCGCTCCTCTTCAACCTTCTTAGCTGCCTCTGCTGCAGCAGCTTCCATGGCCAATCGTTCCTCCTCTGCCTTCCTGGCTTCCTCAGCTAATCGCTCCTCTTCCGCTTTCTTGGCCGCCACTGCTTCGGCAGCTTCCTTGGCCAGTCGTTCCTCAGTTTCTTTCGCTAGCCGCTCCTCTTCAACCTTCTTAGCTGCCTCTGCTGCAGCAGCTTCCATGGCCAGTCGTTCCTCCTCTGCCTTCCTGGCTTCCTCAGTTAATCGCTCCTCTTCCGCTTTCTTGGCCGCCTCTGCTTCGGCAGCTTCCTTGGCCAGTCGTTCCTCGGTCTCCTTCGCTAGCCGCTCCTCTTCAACCTTCTTAGCTGCCTCTGCTGCAGCAGCTTCCATGGCCGCTTTCTTGGCCGCCTCTGCTTCGGCAGCTTCCTTGGCCAGTCGTTCCTCAGTCTCCTTCGCTAGCCGCTCCTCTTCAACCTTCTTAGCTGCCTCTGCTGCGGCAGCTTCCATGGCCAATCGTTCCTCCTCTGCCTTCCTGGCTTCCTCAGCTATTCGCTCCTCTTCCGCTTTCTTGGCCGCCTCTGCTTCGGCAGCTTCCTTGGCCAGTCGTTCCTCAGTCTCCTTCGCTAGCCGCTCCTCTTCAACCTTCTTAGCTGCCTCTGCTGCAGCAGCTTCCATGGCCAATCGTTCCTCCTCTGCCTTCCTGGCTTCCTCAGCTAATCGCTCCTCTTCCGCTTGCTTGGCCGCCTCTGCTTCGGCAGCTTCCTTGGCCAGTCGTTCCTCGGTCTCCTTCGCTAGCCGCTCCTCTTCAACCTTCTTCGCTGCCTCTGCTGCAGCAGCTTCCATGGCCAATCGTTCCTCCTCTGCCTTCCTGGCTTCCTCAGCTAGTCGCTCCTCTTCCGCTTTCTTGGCCGCCTCTGCTTCGGCAGCTTCCTTGGCCAGTCGTTCCTCGGTCTCCTTCGCTAGCCGCTCCTCTTCAACCTTCTTAGCTGCCTCTGCTGCAGCAGCTTCCATGGCCAATCGTTCCTCCTCTGCCTTCCTGGCTTCCTCAGCTAATCGCTCCTCTTCCGCTTTCTTGGCCGCCTCTGCTTCGGCAGCTTCCTTGGCCAGTCGTTCCTCAGTCTCCTTCGCTAGCCGCTCCTCTTCAACCTTCTTCGCTGCCTCTGCTGCAGCAGCTTCCATGGCCAATCGTTCCTCCTCTGCCTTCCTGGCTTCCTCAACTAATCGCTCCTCTTCCGCTTTCTTGGCCGCCTCTGCTTCGGCAGCTTCCTTGGCCAGTCGTTCCTCAGTCTCCTTCGCTAGCCGCTCCTCTTCAACCTTCTGAGCTGCCTCTGCTGCGGCAGCTTCCATGGCCAATCGTTCCTCCTCTGCCTTCCTGGCTTCCTCAGCTAATCGCTCCTCTTCCGCTTGCTTGGCCGCCTCTGCTTCGGCAGCTTCCTTGGCCAGTCGTTCCTCAGTCTCCTTCGCTAGCCGCTTCTCTTCAACCTTCTTAGCTGCCTCTGCTGCAGCAGCTTCCATGGCCAATCTTTCCTCATCTGCCTTCCTTGCTTCCTCAGCTAATCGCTCCTCTTCCGCTTTCTTGGCCGCCTCTGCTTCGGCAGCTTCCTTGGCCAGTCGTTCCTCAGTCTCCTTCGCTAGCCGCTCCTCTTCAACCTTCTTAGCTGCCTCTGCTGCAACAGCTTCCATGGCCAATCGTTCCTCCTCTGCCTTCCTGGCTTCCTCAGCTAATCGCTCCTCTTCCGCTTTCTTGGCCGCCTCTGCTTCGGCAGCTTCCTTGGCCAGTCGTTCCTCAGTCTCCTTCGCTAGCCGCTCCTCTTCAACCTTCTTAGCTGCCTCTGCTGCGGCAGCTTCCATGGCCAATCTTTCCTCCTCTGCCTTCATGGCTTCCTCAGCTATTCGCTCCTCTTCCGCTTTCTTGGCCGCCTCTGCTTCGGCAGCTTCCTTCGCCAGTCGTTCCTGAGTCTCCTTCACTAGCCGCGCCTCTTCAACCTTCCTAGCTGCCTCTGCTGCAGCAGCTTCCATGGCCAATCGTTCCTCCTCTGCCTTCCTGGCTTCCTCAGCTATTCGCTCCTCTTCCGCTTTCTTAGCCGCCTCTGCTTCGGCAGCTTCCTTGGCCAGTCGTTCCTCAGTCTCCTTCGCTAGCCGCTCCTCTTCAACCTTCTTAGCTGCCTCTGCTGCAGCAGCTTCCATGGCCAATCGTTCCTCCTCTGCCTTCCTGGCTTCCTCAGCTAATCGCTCCTCTTCCGCTTTCTTGGCCGCCTCTGCTTCGGCAGCTTCCTTGGCCAGTCGTTCCTCAGTCTCCTTCGCTAGCCGCTCCTCTTCAACCTTCCTAGCTGCCTCTGCTGCAGCAGCTTCCATGGCCAATCGTTCCTCCTCTGCCTTCCTGGCTTCCTCAGCTAATCGCTCCTCTTCCGCTTTCTTGGCCGCCACTGCTTCGGCAGCTTCCTTGGCCAGTCGTTCCTCAGTCTCCTTCGCTAGCCGCTCTTCTTCAACCTTCTTAGCTGCCTCTGCTGCAGCAGCTTCCATGGCCAGTCGTTCCTCCTCTGCCTTCCTGGCTTCCTCAGCTATTCGCTCCTCTTCCGCTTTCTTGGCCGCCTCTGCTTCGGCAGCTTCCTTGGCCAATCGTTCTTCAGTCTCCCTCGCTAGCCGTTCCTCTTCAACCTTCTTAGCTGCCTCTGCTGCAGCAGCTTCCATGGCCAATCGTTCCTCATCTGCCTTCCTGGCTTCCTCAGCTATTCGCTCCTCTTCCGCTTTCTTGGCCGCCTCTGCTTCGGCAGCTTCCTTGGCCAGCCGTTCCTCAGTCTCCTTCGCTAGCCGCTCCTCTTCAACCTTCCTAGCTGCCTCTGCTGCAGCAGCTTCCATGGCCAGTCGTTCCTCCTCTGCCTTCCTGGCTTCCTCAGCTAATCGCTCCTTTTCCGCTTGCTTGGCCGCCTCTGCTTCGGCAGCTTCCTTGGCCAGTCGTTCCTCGGTCTCCTTCGCTAGCCGCTCCTCTTCAACCTTCTTAGCTGCCTCTGCTGCAGCAGCTTCCATGGCCAATCGTTCCTCCTCTGCCTTCCTGGCTTCCTCAGCTAATCGCTCCTCTTCCGCTCTCTTGGCCGCCTCTGCTTCGGCAGCTTCCTTGGCCAGCCGTTCCTCAGTCTCCTTCGCTAGCCGCGCCTCTTCAACCTTCCTAGCTGCCTCTGCTGCAGCAGCTTCCATGGCCAGTCGTTCCTCCTCTGCCTTCCTGGCTTCCTCAGCGAATCGCTCCTTTTCCGCTTGCTTGGCCGCCTCTGCTTCGGCAGCTTCCTTGGCCAGTCGTTCCTCGGTCTCCTTCGCTAGCCGCTCCTCTTCAACCTTCTTAGCTGCCTCTGCTGCAGCAGCTTCCATGGCCAATCGTTCCTCCTCTGCCTTCCTGGCTTCTTCAGCTAATCGCTCCTCTTCCGCTTTCTTAGCCGCCTCTGCTTCGGCAGCTTCCTTGGCCAGTCGTTCCTCAGTCTCCTTCGCTAGCCGCTCCTCTTCAACCTTCTGAGCTATTGTTCCCCTTACTTTCCCCGAGAAGCTAACCTCACGAACCACTGGGCCAACCATCCCTGTGCATGAAGGTCTTACAAAAGACACCGTGAATCTAGGTGTTGTCATGCCTCCTCCCTCACACCGCAACATCAGGCACAGGATATTGTAAATTACAGTTTGGACCACCAGTCCCCGCTCGTTGCAATAAGAGAAAGTGGATTCTAGCCGCGTCCCAAAGCGCCTTTTCAGCAGTCTTTACTTCACAGACTTCCTGCACCTCTTTCGCTTCAACGTGTTTGGACACGACTTCCTGGGCAAGTTGCGCATGTTGCGCTTCACCCACTGCCAGTGCGACTTTAACTTTGTCATGCGTTGCCACTTCCAACTCCGATGCTATCTACCCGACAGGAAGCGAGACATGGCACCTGCGGGTAGGAAGTCTGCATGCAGCTATGCCAGCTATGCAAGTCTTATGAGTTGCACAGTGCAACTAAGGTGCCAGGCTTGCGGTAGTCATGGTCAGCGTTTGACTTCCCTCTTTCATTATGCGCCCGCTTCCAGCTGCCGGGTCTTGCGACAATTCTGCCAGTGGCACATCTTCCACAGGATCCGCCAAACTCTTTCCTGGAAAAACTCTTTCGCCTCTTTCGCTGGATCGAGTCAGTGCTGCAAAAGCTTCGACCGCTGCGCGCTGTTCTTCAATGTGCGCAGTGATGTCAGCCGGGTCTGTCGTATCAGTGGCGGAGTCCGCACTCATGTCCCAGGGGCTTAAGATACAACCATTCGAGATGCAAGCGACCATGGAGCCTGACAAAGAATGTCTTCTGCTGTCGATAACCTCACTGGGCTCCACTTTGCGGGTGTGCTCCAGGCAACCTTGATGTGCGCCCTCAGTTCGAATGGACTGGCATAGTTCAGAAAGAACTTCATGCACAGATTCGGACAATGAGGAAGCCGGTCTGCCGCCCTCTGTGATCTGCGCCTCGACTTCATCGCCTAGGACGGCCTCGCTTCTCGTGCTCCACGCAGACATCTTGGCCTGGAATGCTTGCACAACTTATCTGTGCAAGCCACGACTTGGAACATCTAGCTGCCAGAATCGACATGTTTTCCAACATTCCGAGCACTGCGAATCAAGGGTAAACCCTTTCTTGTCGTGGTGGCCTTCTCAGAGATGAACTGAGGTATCGACCTGAAGTGGATTGGTGCTGGGAGAAGCTCGCTTAATTGTAACTTGTCTTTGTTGGCTTCCTTGCAACTTTCACGTGTTTTCGGCAAAAAACTTAGCTGCAACTTGTTTCATGGCTTCGAAAAGGCCTGACCCCTCGAAGGGTCCTTCTGGGTTGAGGTTGCCAACATTTGCCAACCAACACCTCATTTTAGGGCTTGGGGCTTGCCACTCAACCTGCCTGATGCGTTTCCATTCAGTTTTTCGGATCCCCTTTGAAGGTTTAGGGCTTGCCACCCCACATCTCCTTTCAAGGGTTTCGGTTTGCCAGATTCAGATTTAAAGAAGTCTCCTCTCGGGGCCGCCAACAGCAAGGAAAGGCATCCCTCGGAGCAAGCAAGAAGATTTAATTACAAAGCAAAAAGCAAAAACGTTCCAACTAAGCGATGTTGCAACGAACCTAGCTATCTCGAGCTACCATGCCAAGGCACAGCGGTCTGTAAGTCCTGGCTCTGGCTGGAGACTGGGCAACCCGGCGCGCCTCATTTGTGAACATCTCAATGTCAACTCAACATCTTCACGAATCGAACATCAAAAGATGTCAAAAGATGTCAAAAGCTTCGAAGAGCTGTTGAGCTTTGCGCCGAGGCCATGGCGAGAACAGTACTTTTCTCGCGCAAGGCCTTCGCGGCACTTCCACCACATCCCACCTGATAGCATTGGCAAATGATTGGCAGTGTAGGCAGCAAGAGACCCGTCGGAGACCCCAGCCGGGAGAACAGCAGCTTGCCGAAGCACATGCCTAGCTTCCACAACCTTGCAAGCTGAGACCGGCATTGGCACAATACACTTCAGAAATCGTACTCGCCACTCAGCATATGGGTCACTGGCGTACTCCCGAAGTTCCTGGAGATCACAGTGTCACGAAGGCGCGGCGGTTAAGCTCGCGATCTAGAAAAGGCCACCAAGGCGCAGGTAAACAGGACAGGGTTGAATGTTCAAAAGCTTCGGCTTCCGAGCTGAAGGAACATACAGAAAGACACGTTTCTAAGCCCGGTGTCAAGCTGCAGCAAAATCACCAATGTTTGTCATCACCATTTCAGCATATCGATGGCCAACAAACGCAGAGCTTAACATTCTCTCCGCAATACATCCTGGTTGTCCCGCGCAATGGCGACATTCAGGTCGCGTGCCATGCGGAGCCACTCTTGGACCTTTACATGTGCTGCAGGCACGAGCTTGCACACAGCTCGAATCCTCCGCTATCAACCTGTACCAGCACCTGCACATCCAGCGCAGGATGAGCCATACATGTGGTCCGTGCGGCACATCGGTGTGCCGCATGCTGCTCGGCATGCAATCATGTCTACTTGAGCCAGAGCCACGCCGAAATGGAGCAAGAGCTTTACAGCGGCCTCTGTGGGAGTGATTTTGCAGACATGACTGCAAGATGCTCATCTTGGCTTCAACGCACATGCAAATCTCGTCGGGTCGGGTGCATACTGTTTCGTCCTTTCCGCACAAGAGATGTGCTTCTCTCCTGCCCGGCAATTTTCCATCATGCTCACCTCTTGCTCGGCCTCACAATGTACAAAACAAGCTCCACCAGCGAGTGCGCAACATCTCTGAAATCATTCCATGCGTGCTTGGCCCCCGGCGCTGGATATCCCAGTGTGGTCGCCTGCTGCTGACAGTAGCCGCGGATCTTTCTTTCAAAAGTCGTACTTCCAACCTCCATTTCTTGCAGACGCTGACGAATTGCACCGCTTGCAACCTGCAAAAGGCTTCCTGCAAATGTCTTGACACGCTCGAACCTGTCGAGGGTTCTCCACTCAGCACTGCACAAATTTGCCATCCATGTTGAAGGCACTGTGCTGGTTCGAAGGTGCCGACGATGCCTTCGGAACATGTCAGCGTTGACGGATGGCTTCGGTGACACGAACTGCTTGCGGAACTTACCTTGTCATCGCGCAAGGCCGCTGCGCAAGTGCTGGGAGATAGCTCTTTGGCTTGGCCAGCAGCTTCAGCTCTTGCAGCCCGGCAGGCCAGCTTCCGCCGGTACTTAGCATCTGCCTGTGCCATCATTGTCAGAAGGGCTGAAAGGATACCGAAAGAGAAAGAACAAATTAAGGTAGAACTCAGGAATACAAGCCTCGGCCCGAGTACTTTCCAAGAAAGCAGCCGCCACAGCAGCTGGCCTTCCGGAAGGTGCAGAAGAAACCAAGTAAACAGCGCGCCAACTTTCAGAGGGCAGCACATGTCCAGCTGCAGCGTCGGGAGCGGAGCCAAATGAGAAACCTCACATTGACAAGGAATTGTTGTCGAACCGAAAGAATGCACAGAACGTTTCGGTATGCGGCGGCAGGCTTCACGTCCAGCGGAGCCTTCTGCAAGCAATGCAAGCAGGTCCCAGGTTTAGCTTCACTGCAAGTGCACAGGCAGCTGGCACTGAGATTTTGGCCAGGGACGCTGCAGCTGTGCCGTGCCAAGATTCCAAACACGGCCCCTGGTTAACGCACATGCTCGACACACGAACCTTGCAAACGAACGAGCTGAAGGAAAACATGCGGCCTCTGTGGGATTTCGAGCTTTCGAAGCTGCAGACCCACCTGGCACCTTTTGGAAACGTAAAAAAGGAACCTACAGGAACCTACCATAAGGGACAGATCGGCGAGAGCTAAAACTGAATTTTGGTTCCTGCGCTGCCTCCACCTCGACAATGTGTGGTCTGGATGCCCCCCATGTTGAGCAATCTCTCTTGTCCTTGCAAAATGACAGATGTGTGCTTTGGTTGTTGCCCACAGCAGGCATACACAAACCGACCAAGATGAGGCGCAAGCGGAACATCCAAGGGCACAGGAAGCATGCCCCATGTCAGATTGGCTTAGCGGCCTCTCCCAACGGTTTGCCGTTTAAATAAATAGCGCGATGACTGACATTAAAGGCAAATTGGTGGGTCCTGCCCCTTTGTCGGGGTTCTAGGATGTTCTAGGTTCTTTTTAAATGTTTCTGTGTTGATCAAGGTATGCACCTATTCTGTTCTGATCGGAATCTGAAAGCGGAACAGCATTGTTTCCCGACACCTACCCGTACAAGCCGTCCCTGCCCCCTTGAGTTCCCAACACTATGGCACTGCACGGCATAACTTGGAAACTTTCCAAGGATCGAGGTTATGGGGACGATGGACGGGCTTGGTTGCATGTGCCAACAAACCTTGTAGTGGAACCATGCTCCCTTCGGCCTATGTTCGACCCCCCCCCCTCACATTTCTGCCCAGAGATAGCACAACATCTCGGTGAAACATGTGGCGGTGGCGCATGGCTACGCTGACCACGCGCGACTTTCCCACGCATCAACTTTCACATGTTGAATCCACTGAAAAACTCGCGTGGCCAACACTTTCTTGTCATCCGGGTGCTTGTCTGGATGCCATCGTGCACAGAGTCTCCGAAACAACTTGGTCTGCTCGGCTTCTTCCAGCTTCGGGAAATCACGCAACTCCGTCTTCAACTCTGAGATGATGTTCTTCATTTCGTCGTCCATCTGTGCTTCGTCTGCCCACTCGAAAAAGGTGAAATCCTCTTGACTGTCAGTCGGTTTCTCATCCGAGAAGCTGGTGTATTTGTCTCCTTTGTCTTGATGCGCTCGGACATCGAAAGGGTTTGTGCGCCGGACTCGCTTACATTTTTTGTGAGAAAGAGCGCCTGCAGCGCTGAGAAGAGGGAGAAGCATATCGCGATGATACAACCGTGCTTGATCCAAAGCCGTATAGCAAGGGCGCAAACATTCCCCACCAATTCCTTTGGGGTTCCACTCATGGCAAACTACGTTGACGCTACCTCTGCCATCCCTGACAAACTCCAGGAGCAATTCTACTACAGACTGCCATCCTGCCTGCACAGCGGCGATTAAAGCTGTGCGCTCCTCCGCGTACCCACACGGGTTACGTGTAAATATACCCGTTTTTCCACTGCCGATGCAACCAAACTCTGCCACAATGGTGTCCAAATCACAGCCACAATTCTTCACCAAGTGAACGACTTCAGACACTTGACCGTTCCTAGCAGCATCCACAAGACGGCGGCCAAGGTCTTCTTCGGGAGGTTTGCCCTCGCATTCGTAAGTTTGCCAGGCACGTAACGTATAGTAATCATACTCGTACATCTCTCGCTCCACATTGTCTTGCCCCAAGCTGTGTTTGTTCACCAACAACTGGTTTTCTCGGTCGAGAAGGTCAGCCAAATGCTTTGCGATTGGAAAATCATGAAAATGATGTTGAACGAAGTTTCGCACCGACCGTCGTACCAATATGCGCTCGCCGGAATCATCATCCCCAAGTTCCCCAACAGGCGCTGCACACGCATAAATTTGCCACGTACTTGTAAAGGAATAAAACAAATTCGCGACAACATCTTCTCGTGATCGCATAGTCTTCGCACGGGCAAGACCAGAGCATGGCAAACCTGTGGTGTCCCGCCTGCGAGACACCAGCATTCGCGTTTCCATGTAGTGCCCCGGTGCCCCTGTGCGACAGCACTTGATTGCTTTGTTGCATAATGCTTCTTCAGTCCGGGCAATGCCGTTCGTCTGGTAAATGACTGGGGTGCCATCATTCAAAAAGCCAAAGGAACCATCGCCGTCCAAATCTTCCCCATCTATGACATCTGCTGGCCCCATCTTGAGGCAAGGATGTAACTCGCACTTGCCCTCTGGAGTTGACAGATACTTGTTGAATTTGCCGTGCGTTGATTGCAGCACAAACTGCGCAACATACAGTTCGTTTTCATGCCGACGCAACGGCCGGGCATGCCGCAAAGCGGAAACAGTAGGAACTGCCAGGACAAGTTGCAATCTGCTCAAATCGGTGATGGCTTCGCCCAACGTCGGGGCTGCCGCAGGCAAGAATTCAGCACATTCCGCCGAAAGCGATTTCACAGAGGTGGACGTTGGGAAAAACATGATGGGCTTACCATCTGGATCCAATGGTTGGCGTGTTGGCTGTGAGGCATCGGGCCGCGATCTGTCTCCCAAGCCTGGCTTCAAGTGCGCGCCGGCATGTTCCAGCATTATGTTTGAAACCAAACACAAGGAATTGCATCAGGGAAAGATATGACACGACAAATTCAAAAACTCTAAATCTTCCCCATTGTATCGGGCCGATGTGACCACGGTTACGCTTGCGAACCCTCCACGTCACCTATCATGCAACCTTACGGTAGGCTCAGACTTTGAAACTTCATTATCCCATATTCATTTCATGGCCAAACATTGTGAAACTGTCACCGTGCACGTGTTCGCTGGAAACAGCTGAGTGAGCCCATGCCACGCAACAACATCGCAATTCAGATCAGGACTTTGGCTCGTCTCATGGCGGTTACGCACGAAACAAAGGCGAGCTTTTCCTCGCGTAATGGCATATCGGCTCACCATCTCAGCCTGTGCTTCGAAGCATCGCTTCCTGCTACCTGCATCGGCAAGCGCTCACGCACAACAAGGACCTTGCCAAGCATACCAAGAAACTGGTAAAAGAATTCGTTAAGTCGTTCCTGTACATGTTGCACCGATCAACTGCCGATCACCCGCGAACCCATGAACCTGTCACAAAGCGTACGGCGTATGCTCAACACATTTTTCTTTCCCACGCCTAGTATTTTCGGGTTCCATTAAGGCTTAACCGTGTCTTTTGCACAAGAACCAGCCATCCCAAAAAAACTATTCAAGAATTGGCAAAGCATCGCTGATTCTTGAAACATCCCCGGGTTTACATCCGTTGATTTTTCACACCGACAACCCAAACACGTTGTGTTCCACTACGTACTCCGTGTCAGTGAAACGCATGTCATCAAACAAACAAGTCATGGACACGAAATCGGTGCGGCAGGCCTTCGAATGTGCGCACAGGGACCTGAGTACTATGAACAATTCTCAGCTTGAGCCGCCATCACTTGGGATGTAATACATTCAAGCGGTCATGAGATCTCGTCGAAGTCGTCCACAATATTCCTGTGTACAGCACAACCGTCTTCGCCACAGCGGAAACCATGACGACACGGAATCCTTCGTTCGGATAATTCTGCGTAAGGTGGACCGATGCCTTTCGGAAGTGCATTCCTTCAGGGTCCTACAATGCTTTCATACTGCGAAATTCGGCTTCGTGTGCGCCATGAAGTCGACGGGTGAACTCCAAGCGCCCACAGCCGTGTCCCCTGTTCCCCGCCAACGGCAGTCGCAATCGCCGCCGCATAGGGGTGGGCCGAGTTACCTGCGGCGCCACACAGCACGGTGAAGCATTGTGTTGCGACATGATGCGACGTGACTCCGGTCTTCGCATTGACGCGCGAAGGGCGCCCAGCCCTCCGCCGCCGCCAGAGATGGTCCGTCGCAGCCCGACCTCAGAGGCTGCACGTGCTCGCCTGCGAGACCGGGGGGCGCTGAAACAACGAGTCGCTACCCTGCGAGCCCATGCCCCGCTCCGAGGGCTGCCGCCCAACACTGGTTCCGACAGTGGTGGGGACTGCGCCAGCCACGAGCCACTCTGCTCAGCTCCACCCATCACCAGGCCTATGCCGCGGCGCCGGCGGCACGACAGGAAGGGCACGGAAAGCTGGTGAGCCTGGGTTTCTGGTAAGAGGCGCTCCGGGCAAACACCGCAACATTCATCATCTGCACTGGCAGGGTCGACTGGGGTTTGGTCACTCGGTGAGACGCCAGGGAGCCGAAGCTGAACTGACCGAAGAAGCGAATCCAGCGCGCTCGGCGAGCGCGGCGCGCGCTCCGGCGCATCGGAGCGCCACGCTCGCGACATCAGCTGCAGTGGGCCCCGGCCTCGCGCCGGCGCCCTCGCCGCGGCAGCCTTGCTGGCGCCAGCGGCAAGGCACTGGTAGTGCCAGCCCAGGAGCAAATAGGACCCACTGAGGGCTGCAAAAGTGCCCCCCCCTTGTGGGGGGGGGGGGGGGGGGGGGTGGTCCGGAAATAGGCGGCCCGTGTATTTCGTTTTTTTAAGGTTTCGGGGGGGGGAGGGGGACTGTAGCAAGGCATGTTCTCTCAGAAAGGCACTCGGACAGAAACCATTTTAGCGCGAGCTGTCTTCACCGGCGTCTGTGTCTGCTGCGTGTCTGATTTGGAACCTCGATCCTGAGTGTACGTTTCATGGCCAAATTGAGTTTGTGAAGTGTGGCCCGGGAGTGTTGCTCGCCCAAACTGGCTAGGCACAGCCCACATGTGACAGTTTGTCCTTTGTTGTGTCTGTTCCTGAACCTACAACACGACGGCGGGCGAAATTCGAAAGACCTCAATGAGTTTCACCCGCCATCGTGTTGCAGCAGGTTACGGAACAGACACAAGAGGGACGAGCTGTCACATGTGGGCTGTGCCTATCCGCCCCAAAACCCCCTCGCCTTCCCCGCCCATTTGGCATGCGCGTGGGAAGCCTTTATCCCACCTGCAGAGGGCGGGGGAAGGGGACTAACTGTAGCGTGCAAGAGTCCCTGTCTGGCTGTCTGTGGGACGTGTTGTGCGACTGTTAGGATGTTTCCTGGCTGTCTGTGGGACCCTGGCACCGGGAACGCCCCAAAAATAAGCGGGAAGGAGGGGGGGGACTGTGGCGCGCAAGAGGCCCTGCCCTTTATGACCCACCCCAAACCCCCGCCCTCGCCGCCTGTTTCTGGCATTTCTGGCTGTCTGTGGGACCCCTATGGGATCGGGAACACCCCAGAAATAAGCGGGAAGGCGGGGGGGGACTGTAGCGCGCAAGAGGCCCTGCCCTCTACCACCCACCCCCACAGCCCCGGCTCGCCGCCTATTTCTGGCTGTCTGTGGGACCTTTGTGGGACCCATAGGACAAGAAAGAAATAAGCGGGAAGGGGGGGGGGGGGACTGTCGCGTGCAACAGGCCTTGCCCTTTATGACCCACCGCAACCCCCCCCCCCCCCGCCACCTGTTTCCAGCCGTCTGTGGGATCCCCAGCATGCCCCTGTGGGACCCTGGGATGCTTGGGTGGAGTCCTAGAGTCAGAGACCGATCTGTAAAGGAGTGCAAAGCATGCCCTGCGCGCCTATTTCTCACTTGCCCTCTACCCCTCCGAAGATTGCGAGACTCCTGTAAAGCGCCCTTCATAATCTGTGTTAGGCCGAGGGAACAATGCTATACCTGTGTACTGGAGGATCCCAGTTGAGGACCTGCCAACTCCTACTTCTGAGGGAGGCACCAAGCCACGCCTACTTTTGAGGGCAGCGCCAAAACTAGACAGCCTGTGTTGCGAATCTAGTTGAACATAGCAAAACAAACGCATGACGAAGTTATGTGCACAGCTACGCGGGACAATTTTGGAAACCCTGAATTAAGCCTTCAGCCCCTATCCTCTAAACTCCTCGTCGAAAGGAATGAGTTGGGCTCTACATCCCATGCTGTTTGTTTAACATGACAGGCAGCCCCATAACTTAAGTTAACCGATAATTCCCCGCTTATTTTTCTACCCCCCCCCCACTGTTGCAAAATAAGCGGCGCGCAGCCCCGGAAATAGGCGGCGCTGGGGGTTACCCCCCCCCCCCCCATTGCCAGATTTTTTAGGGGGGGGCCGTGCTGCAAACGCCAAGGATGGAGGACGCGCTGCGCTAAGCAGAGCCTTCCAGCTGGGACAGTTCCCTCGAGTCGACTCGTAGTAAATATGGTGGACAAGATGGCTTGTGAGCCAAACCCTTCAGCCAAAAATGGCTGCGCGTTGCTGATGATATCATGTTGTAATGTGATGTCGTGACGAAGCTGCCCGGATGTTGGATGCAATTGTCCAGGCTCTTTGCCGCGGTGGGTCTGCTTTTCACAAACAACCAAGTTTAACCACAGAAGCACATCCACCGCCGACGTTGTCTCCGCTGCAGGCTCACCGTCATCGCGCATGACGCTGGAGGGCGCTGGAGCAATGAGGCCGCCAACTTCGTCCTGCGGTGCAAACATTGGCCACCAGCCTCTTTTTTTTTCCAGCCTCTTGTCGCTGCCAACATTGATGGGCACCCGTCGCTCCTCAACGAGGTCCGTCGACTCCGCCCTCCCTCCCCCGTTGCCAGCCGCCTCCCGTGATGGTTTTCGATCCTTGCCTTGTGCTGCACGGGGACCGCCTTGACCAGCACAAATAGGCGCGAAAGGACACAAAAAATGGTTTGGTCATGGAAAAGCTAGTGATTGGGATGTTGCAAAGCGATGGTTCCGTTTCATGCGGTCATGTCCCCAGTTGCGTGCTTTGCGGCTGCGCACCGGCCTGTGTATAAATCGGAGTTGCGCAAACTCGACGTTGCTCAACGGCGGATGTTACGTGCCTGTCGTTGGCGCACCAAGTGGCACAGACATGTCCGCAGAATGGCATGTGATTTTATAAGGTTGGAACCGCCGTGTTTCAGAGCAACTACAAACAAGCAAGATTTCGACATGGTCTGACCGATGTTTTCGTTCTTATTGGCCGCAAGATGTTGTTTCTCTACTTGCTGATCGGTGGGTCAAGTATGCGGCTGGCGGCTTGCCTCGGGCTCGCTGTCATCGCCATTGACCTCGCCCACAAGAAAAAATTCAAGGAACTAGCGAAGGAACGCTGCACCGCAACCGCGAGCAATGGCGAGCAACGCGGTCCATTGGGAGATCCACGCTGCTTCAGCGCCGAAACGCTCCCCACTACGAAGCGCAGTTCCAGCGCCGTACCGCTGGAACCATTCTGTGAGGTGTCGCGGCAAAGCCCAGAGGAGGCAGTTGGCACGTGGCACGCGCCCAGAACTGAAGCAACTGCCAGGTCGCCTGCAGACGGTCAAAAACTGTGGGATGCGGCTGAACAGTGTACATTCCCGCATGCTGCCTGACGCGCCGTCTGCTGGAGCTGCGCAGGAGCTGCACAGGAGCTGCGCGGGCCCTCGAAACCGCCAAGCGGAGGAAGTCCGCCAGCTCGGCGCCGAAACGGCCGCCTACCTCGACTGCCAGGACGATCAGCCGGCAACGTCGGGACGCCAGTAGCTCAGGGTAGGTGGTTTGATGCTTGCGCCGCCCCGCATCGGCTGCAGCTTTGCCGGGGCGCGATGGGCCCCCGCGCGTGCAGACCCTTCCCGCGACACAGGGCTCACGAAGGTCGTGTCGACCGCAACCCCCACCTGGGCACCTTGGCGCGCCGTGATCGCGCGAACGACAACCCTTTGCAAGCTTTCGCGTTGTCGACACGCAAAAACTGCGTGTTTTTGCGTTGTCGAGACGCAGAAACGCCGACCCTCTGGGGTGTCGCGATCGTGTGAACGCCAGCACTCTGAATGATTTTTGGGTGTCGCGAAGTTTCCTCGTTATCGCTGATGCATGGGTGTCTTCGTATCGTTGCATGGTTAAATGTCGTGATGGATGTCATGATGGATGGCGAGTGGTCTTCGCGAAGGTTCTTGGTTTTCGACCTCGTGATCGATGTCGGGATGGATGGCGGGCGGTTTCGCGAAAGTTCTTCGCTATCGTTGATGCATGGATGGACGTCGTGACGCATTTCGGTGGCGCGAGGTCTTAATCATAACTCGAAACGCTAACTGTTCAACCGTTCTCTATAGCTTAAGTCGAGAGATGGGGCGGGGGCTGCGCCCCCTCGCTTTTTTCACTTGCGCAAGCTTGCTTCAAAAAATCCCCTGCTTTTTTCAAGCCCATGACGCGAGCATGGTGCGCGGCCCTCCCCCCCGGCGTCATACTTGCGCTTCCAAAACTGACGTCGCCGTGCGTTCGCCCTACGTGCAAGAAGCCTCCGTAGCACGGCTTTCCATGCCTTCTCACAGTGAACGTTGAGTCCTCTGCTTCGGACGTTGTTTTGCATAGGGCCGCCAAAAAAATGACCAGAAAATCTACACCTTGGCCCTCTGGAACAGGCTGGACCGCGCGCTGCGTACCATACGTAACGCATGCGTTGTTGCTGGTGATTTTAATACCGGGCTTCATAGTCATCCAACCGGGCTTGACCATCTCCTCGCTCGACATGTCCCGAATCAGCAATAATTGCAGAACGTCAGACTCGGCTTCGGGCCCTTGGCTCCCTGGTTGGCCCCAAGGCCTCCATGGCTATAGTGGCCTCTTGTGTGTGGTTCAGCTACCGAATCACGGCCGCAGGATTGCACTATGGGGCCAGTCCCAATGCGGGGCATTGCCGTGCGCTGTAATCAAATACCGATCTCCCGGTTAGGAGACAGCAACGACGGTCCACGGACCTATTGCTTTGACCCGTGTAGAAACTACGTGCGCGTTTCCAAGCCGGCTCATGTCACAGCACATGTGATGCCGCTTCGGCTCGCCGATGAAGTCTTGGGACATATCGCTGCGTCCGAGAAAAAAGAGCCCCAAACCCTAAACCCTAAACCCCAAACCCTGAACCCAAAAAAACCTTAAACCCTGCTCTAAACTCTAAACCGAAACCCTCGGTTGTGTATTTTGTTCGATCCTTTTATAATTTCGATTTTTTGATCCGGCAGCCAAACGTGGGGGTTGGGGCCTAGAACGCGCAGCGCATTACATTTATAGGGGCCAGCAGCCGCAGAGCTACAAGCGGACGGGCCCAACAGTGTGTGCCGCCAACCGGAGACACATAGAGGTACTACATTGTATCATTTGTACTACAGCAACCGCAGAAACAGATAGACCATAGAGGCACTACGCTCACGAGAGGACGATTTTGAAGGGCAGGGCGATGGGGGGCCTCAAAGTGTCATCTGGCACGTGGGTGGGGCAGCGGGCGGGGCGGCGGCGGGGGGCGGGCGGCGGCGGGCTGGCGGCGGTGGCAGGCGGGCGGAGTGGGGCCCCAAAAACAAC